GCCAATCAGGCGGGCTGCTTTGTCCTGGATGGTGTCAAATGTTTTGAGTGTTGTTGGGGCTACACTCATCCAGGAAAATGGGGAGTATTCCATCACACTCCTGAATTATGCCTTGTAGATGGCGATCAGGCTTTGAGGAGTCAAGAGGTGAGTTACTTGCTGCAGTATTCCTAGCTTCTGACCTGATCTTGTAGACACTCTGTTTATGTGATGAGTCCAGTTGAGTTTCTGGTCAATGATAACCCCCAAGATGTTGATAGTGGAGGAGTCAGTGATGGTAACACCATTGAATGCCAAGGGGCAGTGGTTAGGTTGTCTCTTATTCATGATGGTTATAGTCTGGCATTTATGTGGCATGAATGTTACTTGCCACTTATCAGCCCAAGCCTGGATATTGTCCAGATCTTGCTGCATCTGAACATGGACTGCTTCAGTATCTAAGGAGTCGTGAATGTTGTGGAACATTGTGCAATCATCAGCAAACATCCCCACTTCTGACCTTTATGAAGGAGGGAAGGTCATTGATGAAGCAACTGAAGGTTGTTGGGCCTAGGGCAGTACCCTGAGGGTCTCCTGCAGAGATGTCCTGGAGCTGAGATGATTGACCTCCAACAACCATGACCATCTTCCTATGTATCAGGCATGAATTCAACCACTGGAGAGTTTGCCCCCTGATACCCATTGATTTTCAGTTTTGCTGAGCTGTCACTCTCCTCATCACTGAAATTCAGCTCTTTTGTCCATGTTTGAACCAAGGCTGTAATCAGGTCAGGAACTGAGTGGCCCTGGTCGAACCCAGACTGGGCGTCACTGAGCAGATGCTGCTTGATAACGCTGTTGATTATGCCTTCTATCACTTTCCTGATGATTGAGAGTAGACTGATGGGCGATAATTGGCCAGTTTGAATTTGTGCTGCTTCTTTTTTTCAGGATATACTTGGGCAATTTTTTGCATTGTCGGGTAGATACCAGTGTTGTAACTGTACTGGAGCAGCTTGGCTAGGGGAGTGGCAAGTTCTGGAGCACAAGTCTTCAGTACTATTTGCCGGAATGTTGTCAGGGTCTGTAGCCCAGTGTCTCCAACTGTTTCTTGATATGACTCTTGAATTGAATTGGCTGGAGACTGGTATCTGTAATGCTGGGGATCACTGGAGGAGGCCAAGATGGATTATCAGCACTTGTGGCTGAAGATTGCTGTGAAAGCTTCAGCCTAATCTTTTGCACTGATGTGCTGGGCTCTTCTGTCATTGAGGATGGGGATACTTGTGGAGCTGCCTCTTCCAGTGAGTTGTTTAATCGTTCACCAGCACTCAGAACTGGATGTGGCAGGACATCAGAGCTTAGATCTGATCCATTGGTTGTGGGATCACTTAGCTCTGTCTATCACTTGCTGCTTATGCTGTTTGGCATGCACGTCGCCCTGTTTGCTGGCTTCACCAGATTGACACCTCAACTTCAGGTACTGCTCCTAGCATACCTCCTGCACTCTCCAGGTTGATCACCTGGCTTGATGGTAATGGTTGAGTGGGGGATATGCCAGGCCTTGAGGTTACAGACTGTGCTGGAGTACAATTCTGCTGCTGTTGATGGCCCACAGTGTCTCCTGGATACCCAGTCTTGAGTTGCTAGATCTGTGCGAAGTCTGTCCCATTTAGCACGGTGATAGTACCACACAACACGATGAAGGTTATTCTCAATGTGAAGGCGGGACTTCATCTCCACAAGGGCTGTGCGATGGTCACTTTTATCGATACTATCATGGACAGACGCAACTGCAGCTAGCAGATTGGTAAGGATGAGGTCAAGTATGTTTTTCCCTCTTGTTGGTCCCTCTGTTGTAACTAACAGTATTTTGCATTTGAAAACTGAAGATAACTAGATATTTTTTAAATCAACTTGTTCACACGTGTTATAGTGCCAGAAGATAGGAAAGAGGCAAATGTCATTCCCTTGTTCAAAAAAGGGAACAGTGATACCCCTGGAAATTACAGACCAGTTAGTCTTACGTCCGTGGTGGGCAAATTATTGGAAAGGGCTCTGAGAGACAGGATTTATGATCACTTGGAAAGGCACAGTTTGATTCGTGATGGTCAGCATGGATTTGTGAGGGGTAGATCATGCCTCACAAACCTTATTGAATTCTTTGAAGAGGTAACCAAACACATGGATGAAGGTGGAGCAGTGGATGTGGTATACATGGATTTAAGTAAGGCACTTGATAAGGTTCCCCATGGTAGGCTTATGCAGAAGGTAAGGAGGCATGGGATAGGGGGAAATGTGGCAGATTTGGATTCAGAATTGGCTGGCCCTTAGAAGATAAAGGGTGGTAGTGAATGGAAAATATTCAACATGGTGCTCAGTTACAAGTGGTGTACCACAAGGATTTGTTCTGGGTCCTCTTCTATTTGTGATTTTTGTAAACGATTTGGATGAAGGAGTGGAAGGGTGGATTAGCAAGTTCGTGGATGATACGAAGGTGGGTCACATTGTGGACAGTGCGGAGGGCTGTTCTAGGTTACAAAGGGACATTGATAGAATGCAGAGCTGGGCTGAGAAGTGGCAGATGGAGTTTAACCCTGAAAAGTGTGAGGTGATTCATTTTGGAAGGACAAACTTGAAAACAGAATACAGAGTTAACGGAAAGATTCTTGGCAGTGTGGAGGAGCAGAGGGATCTTGGGGTTCATGTTCACAGTTCCCTGAAAGCTGCCACCCAGGTGGATAGAGTTGTTAAGAAGGCGTATGGTGTGTTAGCTTTCGTTAATAGAGGGATTGAGGTCAAGAACTGTGAAGTTATGCTCCAGCTATACAAAAGCCTGGTTCGGCCACATCTGGAGTATTGTGTCCAGTTCTGGTCACCTCATTACAGGAAAGATGTGGAAGCGTTAGAAAAAGTGCAGAGGAGATTTACCACGATGTTGCCTGGAATGGAGGAAAGGTTGAGAGAGCTAAGGCTTTTCTCTTTAGAACGACGAAGGATGAGAGATGACTTGATAGAGATGTACAAAATAATCAGAGCTATAGATAGCCAGAGACTTTTTCCTAGGGTGGAGGTAGCTTTTACGAGGGGACATAGTTTTAAAGTGAAAGGAGGTAGATATAGGGGAGACATCAGTGGTAGGTTCTTTACTCAAGGAGTGGTAGGGACATGGAATGCATTGCCAGAGAGGGTAGTGGAGTCGGCCTCATTAGGGGCATTTAAGCGGCTATTAGATAGGCATATGGATGATAGTACAAGGTAGCGGTGGAGATTAGATAGACCTTAGGTTTCGGGTAAAAGTTCGGCACAACAACGTGGGCCAAAGGGCCTGTACTGTGCTGTACGGTTCTATGTTCTATGTTCTATGTTCTATGTTATTAAACACCTCTAGATCAGGTGGGACTTGAACCTGAGCCTTATGGCCCTGAAGTAGGGGTACTACCACTGTGCTACAAGAGCCGTTGCCTGAAGATAAATAGATGTTTTCTGATTAATCTGTTCAGAGATGTTATTACTTTATATTTTTAAAGCAGTTGGGACTTGAACCCAGGTCTCCTCCATCAGAAGTAGAAACACTAGCATTACAACACAAGAGCCTATTCACCTTGCAGAAAGTTCTGGAGTCCTCCACAGGTTTACCTGGTTTCTTCACAGACCACTTGTTGTTTTGAGTAACAGACGTACACCTGGATGTATTTGATTTAGTACAGCTGCCATTGTTGAATGAAATCATTTTAAGGAAACATTTTTTTTGACAGGCCTGAATAATTGAATATTGTGGGATATTATATAGCCTGTGCAGATTACTGAAAGGGACATAAACATGTCCATTTTCATGTCTGGTTTAGCAGACCCAACTTGAAATTTCCTAATCACTGTGAGTCACTGAATAATGCTAAGGAAACGGAAGCAAGACAGGTTAGGTAGGAAATAACCTAACATTGGAACCCTGACTGAACTAATTCAGCAGATAGAGGATGTAAATGGGAATCTTTGATTCAGCTATACAACTCAGCTATAAATTGGTTTAATTCTAAGCCATTGAAAAAATGTGATAAGGTCATTATTAGAAGTTGCTATAGGAGTTCTGAAACTGACTGATGGAGGGGATCAATGAGATCTTGTGGTGCTTGGACATGTCCCTATCTCTGAGCCAGGAGACTTGGGTTCAAGTCCCTCTTCCTTCAGAGGTGTGTCATGACAAGTTAATTAAAGAAAAGAAGGGGATAAATTAACTAGCAATTTCAACTCATTAAAAACACCCTAGGGACTAATACTGTTCAGTAACTGTAGATTATCTATTTGACCCTGTACTGGGTATAAAATTTAAAATCTTCCTCATATACTATAATTGTGATTAGCATGACAAAAGGGAAAGCTACAAGGTCTTGTACTGCGTTTAGGTTTTATTTTATCCAGTAATAGGATGTGAATGTCATTGGCAAAGGCAGCATTTGTTTCCCATTCTTAATTGACATTGCAAAGATGTTGATGAGCCCTATTCTTGAACTGCTGCCGTCCATGTGGTGTAGGTAAACCTTCAGTGGAGAATTCCTTGACTTTGACAGTGAATGAATAGGTGATGTGGCTCTGAGTAGGGGTGGTTGTGACTTGGAGAGGAAGTTTTCAGGTGGTAAAGTTCTTTTGCATCTTTAACTTTGTCCTTTTGAGATGATAGAGGTCACAGGTTTGAACAATTCTGTCAAAGGCGTCTTGATGAGTCGCTGCAGTGCAAATTCCAGATGGTATGTGCAATTATGCACCAGTGGTGAAGTGAGTGAATGTTTAAACTGGTGGATAGGATTCTGATCCTATTGACTACTTTCTCCTGAATAGTGTTGAACGTTTTTCATTCATGCTCACAATCATGACTTGGTGTATTGATGGGGGAAAATTCAGTTGTCAGGTAGTGAGCCACAGAATTCCCAGCTTCTGACCTACTCTTGTCTCAGGGACATATGTTTGAATCCCACCACTGCAGATGGTGAAATTTGAACTCAATAAAAATCTGGAATTAAAAGCTAGCTTGTAGGTGACAGTGTAACTGTTGGTTGCTGTAAAAAAACAAAAAAAAAATGTCAAGTTTGCAAAATGCCCTTTAGGAAAGGAAATGCATCATCCTTACCTGGTCTGGCCTACATATTCATCCAAATCTGTATCAAAGTGTTTGACTTTTAACTGTCCACTGAAATAGCATTGCAAATTACTCAGTTGTAATCAAACGCTAGAAAGTCAAAACAAAAGAATGAAAAAAGACCACCCATCATTGACCTAAGTACCAGAAAGAACAATGGTAAACTCAGTGCAGTCATTCCTGCACAATTTTTCTTCATAATATCTCACATACTAGTCAAGCATCAGCCTAACACAGTCATAATTACAGACAATGGCTAAGACACAATCATCACCATCTCACTTGCAGGACAGAGCCACCAGAAGTGGATGCATAATGGTATACAATCAGGAAGAAAGTGCACAACATTGTCTTCAGACTGCACAGTGTCTCATAGCAGCAAGTCAAACGGGACAAGGAAACCTCCTGATTACAACTGACTGCACTCTGTCTCTCTTTTTCTATCTGTCTCCTTTTTTTCTCTCTCCCTCCTGTCTCCGACCTGCCTGCCCTTCCTCCCCACCACCTGGCTGATAAATCAGTGCTCCACCATGTTGAACATAATTTGGAGGAAGCACAAAGGGATAAAGGATATAGAATGTACTCTGGCTTCATTGTCCAAGTGGGGCTCAATGCACCAAGATGGACTGGGCTGGTCAAATCCTAGAGAGCAGCTGTGTTTGTGGCAGGTGATGAAGTAATCAACAAGAGGAAAACAAAATCTATTTAGCCTTCAAAGGTGGGTACATCCATATTAGCATCTATAGGAGGGACTACCATGCAGCCAGTGTGGAAACAAAAGTCCTGTCTTTAAATTGAGGTTATTTTCCATTCCACCATTCCAAATGGACCAGCTTCAAACAGATCTAGCAACTCCAACATGGGTGTCTATCAGGTACTGTGGGTCATCAACAGCAACAGAATTGTATTCAACCACAATCTGTAACTTCCTGGTGAGATACTGCCATTACTATGAAGCCAGGTGATCAATCCTGGCTCCATTAGGAGCGCAGGAGGGAATGCCAGGAGCAGCACCACCATCAGGCACATCAAAAAATGAGGTACCAACCTCCTGAAGCTGTAACACAGCACTACTTTCATGCCAAACAGCAGAGGCAGCACATAATAGGGCTTAATGATCCTAAAATCAATGGATCAGATCTTAGTTCTGCAGTCCTGCTACATCCAGTCACAAATGGTTGTGGACAATTAAATAACTAACAGCAGGTAGGGCTTCACCAATATCTTAATATCCAACAGTGGAGGAGCCCAGCAAATTGATGCAAACGACAAGGCTGAGAACTTCAATCAGAAGTTCTGATAATGTATCTCAGCTTCTTTGTAAGGTCTCCAAAATCACAGATGGCAGTTTTCAGCCAATTAGATTCACACCATGTGATGTTAAGAATTGACTGAAGACACTAGATAGTGCAGCAACTATGGATCCTGATGACCTTCCAGGAATAGTACTGAAGATCTATTTGCAAGAAAGAGCCACACCTCTGGACAAGCTGTTCTAACTACAATGTTGGCATCTGGCTGACAATGTGAAAAACTTCCTAGGTACATTCTGTGCACAAATATATTGGGACGGATTCAATCTGACTAATTAACACCCATCAGTCTATTCTCGATCATCAGCAATGTGATAAAAGGGACCATCAATAGTGCCATTTCCAAAGTACTAACTTGCTGAGTTTCTGCCACCTCACTCCTTACTTCATTTGCAACCTTGTGACCAAACATGGACATAAAGAGCTGAACTCCAGAGTGAGTTGAGAGTGTGTACCCTTGACATCAAAACAGCATTTGACTGAGTGTGGCATCAAAGAACTTTAGCAAAACTGGAGTCAATAGGATTTTGGGGAAGTCGAGGTCAATCACCTCGACCACCTCAAAATAATGTCCGACGCCCAACTATTAACTGATTCAAAAATGACCTTGACCCTTCACATCAGAAGGCCAGATTTTATGATGATTGCTGATGGTTGCACAATATTCAACACCATTCATAACTCCTCAGATACTGAAGCAGTCTGTGTCTACATGCAGCAAGAACTGGATGACATCCAGGCTTAGGCCATTAGTTGAGGATAATATTTATGCCACACAAGTGTCGGTCAATGATCATCCCCATCGAAAGAGAATCTAACCATTCATCCCTTGACGTTCAATGACATTACCATCACTGAATCCCCCATAATCAACATCCTTGAGGTTACCAATAACCAGAGGCTGAATTGAACTGACCATATAAATGTTTTGGCTATGGGAGCAGTACAAAGGAATTGTGTGGCATTCAATAGGATTACCACTATCAATATCCTGGGACTACCAGTGACCAGAAAGAGAACTAGACTAGTCATTTAAGTACTGTGACTACAAGAGCAGGCCAGAGGTTAGAAATTCTGATGTGAGTAATTCTGATCCCCAAAAACAATTTACTATGTACAAGGTCCAAGTCAGGAGTGTGAAGCAGTACTCCTCCACTTTCCTGATAGGTGCAGTTCCAACAACACTTAAGAAGCTTGACACCATCAGGACAAAGCAGCCACTTAACTGACACCACATCCACCACTTCAACATTCACTGCCTTCACCATAGGTGCTCAGGGCCCGCAGTGTGTACTATGTATAAGATGCCCTGCAGCAACTCACCAAGGCTTTCTTGACAGCACCTTCCAAATCCATGCCTGCCACCACCTGAAAGGATCAGGGTAGTAGATATTTGGGAGCACCATTAAGTTTCCCTCCAAGCCACATGTCATCCTGATATGGAAATATGCATCATTGTTCCTTCACTGTTGCTGGGTCAGAATCCTGGAACTCTTTCCCCTACAGTGTTGTGGATGTTCCTGTACCCTGAGGATAGCAGCTGTTTAGAAGGAAGCCCATTATCCCCTTCTCAAAGGCATTTTGGGATGTGCCAGAGATGCTGATCTAACCAGTGATCCCCACGTTGCACAAATAAATAAAAAAAAACTCTCTTATAAAACTGATCTGGTTAATGGTAAGCCTCAGAATATTAATAGTGGGGGATTCAGAGAAGTCAATACTGTTGAATGTCAAGGGGAGATAGATTCTCTCTCTTATTGGTGATGGTTATTGACTGGCATGAATGTTATTCACCTAAGACTGAATGAATGTTTCCCAGGACTTGTAGCA